TTGAATTATTACCATATTACTGCAGCATGCTCCTTGAAAATGAAAGTTGTAGATTGACCATCAAACATCATAAGGTATACATTTGTTTGCTTTCCCTATAAAAAAAAAAGGTCAGATGATAATCAATTATTTGATTTAAAAAAAAATCGATTTTTCATTAAGTTATAATAACATCATTTTAATAAGGTCGTAATCTTATTTATCATCAAAATTATTTTACATGGATTTATAAACCTCATGCAGCTTGACAAATTTTATTATTTTAAAACAGATGCACAACAGCAATGACTTTTTATTCAAATTTTTCTACTGTCAATTTATGTCTTCCATCAGCACATCATCGAAAAGTTTAATGCCAATATGTATAGGGTCCATTACAATGTAAAATCAATGCTTAAACTTCGTTCTGTTGTTGATTATTTAAAAGTATTCAACGATTTAGATCCATGTGTTGATTATATGACAGACCATAAAGATGAAATAATATTCTCTATGATTTCTGGTTCAATAAATGCAGAAATTATTGTTTCCTTTATTAATCAATTACCACAAATCAATTCAATTTATTTTTTGTTGAATCCAGCCAATTATGATCAATGACAAGAATATGAAAAATGACATTGATACTCTTTGTGATAAAATATAAAAAAGACATTCAACAATATAAAGTACGATCTTTTATTGGAGATCTTCATTGTCAATTGAATTCTTGTAGGTTATCATCGACTATTACGACTATATATTGAGAACAGCTAATGAAAAGTAAAGAATTTAAAAAACATAAAGATAACATTGGTGGTCTTTTATCAGTTAATAATTTTTTGTCAACAAGCACAGATAAAGAAGTCGGCTTAGGTTTTGCTTTGGCAAATGTTGATCGTTCAGGTTATGAACCACTTTTATTTGAAATCAAAGTCAATCGATCAATATCTCAAATCCAGTTGCTAATATAAAATTTTTGAGTTAATTTCGAACAAAAAATGACGTTCTATTCTCAATTTGTTCTGTATTTTGTATTAAATCAATAGTAAAAATGAACAAAAGCATTTGAAATGTTGAATTAAAATTAAGTAGAGATGAAGATAAGCAATTCAAAGAATTAGCAACATATATGAGATTGATAATTGGTTATACAAGTACTTCAGCAAATTTAGCACGATTAGTGATTGAAATGAACGAATTATATTACACTGAGAAATTCTTTTAAACATCTCTTGATAACAATTAATTTGATTATAATCTTCATGATCTTGGCAGTGAATACAATTGTCTAAGATTTATTTACTATAAGAAAAGTGAAACTGTGAAAGCATTATAATATTATAAAAATTTTATAGATACTAAGCAACAAATATCAAATGATCATGAATTACTTGCATCAACATACAACAATATTGGTGAAGTTTATAGGATAGAACAAGATTATGATCATCCAATATGAAACTACACAAAAGACATTCAAAACTAATTACAACAATCCTGAATTACTGGATGCATGCTATAATAATATTGGATTGGTCAATATAGCTCAAAGCAATTATTTGACAGTTGTGAAAATGTTTGAAAAGGTAACTGAAATAATTCGACTCAATGACCCTTCATATAATTCTTCACTTGCAAGGTTCTACAATAATGGGAGTATGAGTGTTATCTTTGCTTTGAACAGACACCCACAACCTCGAAGATGAAGATAAAATTAAGGTAATGTTGACAAGAATCATTAAAAATGGAATAGAGTTTAAGAATGAGTGTCCCGTATTTTGTGAATGAAAGTCAAACATAAATATCAAAGAAATCGACACGTATCAATACTAAATAACATAATACTAACATCTTATTACTTACTATATGCAGAATGTATGACAATAAAAGGTCTTACGATCAGGAAACAGGTCAGAACCATGAAAAATCAAGCGTTATCTGTAAAGGTTAATTTTTTAAGTCTTTACCATCGTGTGTGCAAGAATGTAAATGAGGAGAAAAATCTCACTTACATCTACAATAGCTACAAATGAATAATTAGTCATCTTCTAACATTTGTAGTAGTTCGACCAAACAACAAAATATTATTGGATTGAAATCGAAAAAGAAATTTTCATCTTGATCATTGTCTGATTCATGTTTTCAATGGCAATTAAATATGCAAGAAAAATTTGATTTCATAACGGGACTAAGTGTATCACTCACCTTATCAAAGGGTTTTGCCCATTAACATTCACTCAAAGTCTGTTTGTATCCTTGATATGGTTTTTGTATTTTTCTATTTGGTTTTCAACTTTGAGTGGTTCTTGTGTTTAGCAAAGATTTTTCTGTTTGCTTTTAAGTTCAACTATAGAAGGAGATGTTGGTAAGATTAGAAAACATCTAAAAAGATTCGTACCTATAATGTTTTGAAGTCAAATTATGACCACTTTACTGAAATTTCACCCGTGGATAAATCTGATAATTCTAGAAATATCTGGAAATTTTCAGTCGAAAACAATGTCTCTTTGTCGAGATCTTGAATTTCCAAAAAAATTGTCATTTAGCCTGGATATATCACTAAGATCAAGTTTCCTTCAAAATTGAATACTTCTACAAAAATATATTCTGAGAGTTAGCAGATCTATCTGTGAGCAAAATTTTAGGTTACATTTTCGTTATTTTATATTTATCAAATACCGAAAAATGGATCGAAAATTCAGCAAAACGACCATAAACTAAATACTTTTGTAGAAGTTTTCTAGTCTTACCAAGATTTCTTTGTGAACTCAATATGAACTCAAATGGCAAATTGCAATTGAGTTAATTCTCTTCTGTATTCGATATAAAAATCGATGTTTGACAAATATATTCTGTTTACTCACAATTTATCCACTATCATATATAGTTTCGACAAGACAAGCATTCGTAGTTATTTTGCATATGACGATAACCTATCTTTGTGTTCTTTCAACATACACACTACTCAGATATAGCAGAATATGTTCTTTCTATTTCTATCTCAATTATTTGCATATATATGTTAGCAATAATTCCTCATAGAGAAAACAACAACGAAAAATATATTGAGAACGGCATTGAGAAAAAAGTTTTTCAGTCGCTATTGGCATTGATAGCTCGGATGTTGTCATTATCTCTCTGTAATAGGCATACATACTGTTTGACGAACAATTAGCAAGCTCTAGATTGGAGACTACATGAAAATGTGCGCAGCATTGCTAGAAACTGATGAATTACGTATGCAACTATTCTTTATATTAATCACGAGTGACAACAATGGATTAAAGATCGTTTTAGAAAATTCTATTCACAGTTTTACTCTCATAGTTTGTAGGAAAACAAAAGAAATGGTGTGAATACCAATCTTTTTTTACAATCGTATCACCGATGAAAAACAATGGATTTTGCTTTGAATAACTGTTTAGAAATATTTTAAACATCATGTGCAATCTCAAATAAGTTTGTAAACATAGATGTGCAGATGTGGCTGTAGATGAGAGGAATCTGTGCACCAACTATCACTCACATCATTGATCAATCAAATGCAAGACTTCAGTTGTGACAGCTACCGTTCAAACAGTTCCCAATGTTGTACACCTGAGACGATCATAAAGAAATCGAATATTGAAAATATCGAAAAACTCAGGAAATTTTTCAATGTGATAAATTAATATTGTGCCAAACAACATTTATCAGTATAATTAGATTTATTAGAATAAGTATTGTAGAAAGAAAAAAAGCCGACGATTCTTCTATTCTCTTTTGCTGAAAAACGAAATTAGACGTTGAATTCATTGATAATTATTATTATCGTCAGTGGTAATGTGCTTTTCGAAGCTCAAACAATGAATGTAAAAAAAAAGAAAACTTGAAGAGGACATACAAAAATAAAAGATCTCATTGTTCAAACGAACATCTTCGTTGATAGCATCAATGTTTTGAAGAATGGCATATTCATCAAAATCAATGATATAGTCAAAAAATTAGTTTACTATCAAGAAATATCTATTTCATTTTTCTTTTATCGTTTTTCAATTTTATTGGCAAGCTCGTATAGTACATTTTTATAATTGATTACTCAGGCGCGTTTCACCTCTAGACTACCGAAGTCTTTGAGCATACACGCAGTTGAAATGTAGACAGTATCAAAGATTAGCGAATTTTGTATACTTTATTACCTTTATTTTAACTCGCTGAGTTTTTATAGTAAAATTTACAAAGTGTTTTGGTATTATGTGCAATATGTTTCGACATCACATTAACGAATATTAATTTTGTTACCTGCTTTGCTATTCTAGGGGAGCAGCATCTAACTATGTTTTTCACATCAAATTTTTCAACTATATCTCGAGCATGGTAGTCGGGGGAAGACAATATTTTTATTCATCATACAACCAGATGCTGCATTACGAAATTATTCAATCGACAAGAAGCATTTTGTCTTGTGTACAGCTATGGTGAGTTAATGAAAATATTCGAATCAATGCAAGTATATAATTTAAACTGATAAACCTAATTGTTGTTCTCGGAATTTAATTTGTTCTCTGAGCGTCATTGTCATGTCTGAGTTGTTGTTAGCCTTCTTTTAATTGAATAAATTTTGGAATAAATAATCATTCGGACATCAAATATTCATTTTCTGTTAAAGTTTACGAGTATAGTAATATCGTAGAGAAAAGTGAGAAGACTTAGCAATTAGCTGATAGTATTTTGTGAGCCTCAATTTTTTTTATTTGATGTAGTTCATGTACACAATGTATCAATTTCATATCGTCAGTATCTTTTGCTCATAAAGTGAGCTTCCGACATCTTCACAGAGCTAAGAACAAAGTTTGAACAGCTATAAGTGAGCGATAGATGGTGAATCATAAGAGAAATTGCACCATACTTGTGCAATTTTGACCATGTACTCAACAGAAAAAAACAAACATGTGACTCATCTATCACTGCGAAAGATTCATAATCGTTTTTAATAGATAACAAATGGATCTTAATACTTCTATATTAGCAAATCATAGGAAATATCATTGACAAAAATGGGTTTATCATATCCAAAGCTAGCAGCCACTTCCAAAAAAGATCAGAAACCATTGTTAGTATGTATATCAGGGCTTCGGTTGGTTGGTATGTATCTTTGGTTTTCTTGTTATTTCACTAGTTCGTAGCTTATGAATATACTCTAATCTTTTAAAACTCTTTTTTTTTTTAAAATTACTTAGTTAGTCCAAAACTAGAAATGAACTGTAGTCTTAGATACGTTTTTTGTCCAGTACATTTGATACTCTATGATATATGTGAATACGATGTTTTATTTATCTCAAGATGTATCTTTACGTTCATTCCACCACTCTATTAGCCTGATACTAGATAAAAACAGAGAGATTGATAATAAAAAATTTCTTTTGATCATATGGTCCTAATTCATCGCCAGAACAAGATTGATTTACAACACTATCTCGAATTACGGTTTATCTGGTTTTTTTTCTCAATCCACGTAATTGATTTCTTTTTTATCAACAATGATTTATAAGAGTGCATGAGTGTGAGATGTACATGTTGAGTTAATTTGTGGACTCACTCACATCCTTAGGCAAAGAATTCTTCGAAATCTTTCTGAT